AAAAAAAAAAAAAAAAAAATTTTTTTTTTTTTTTTTTTTTTTTTTTTTTTTTTTTTTTTTTTTTTTTTTTTTTTTTTTTTTTTTTAAAAAAAAAAAAAAAAAAAAAAAGTTGAACCCCGATCTTGAGGGTCCTCACCACCCCGCCCTTAAAGTTTTGTGAGGGAGGTAAATCACGGGATGTGCCCCAACAGGCCAGGAAACAAGAGTTGCTTGTACACTGAGCCTACAAAGAGTCCAATTTCATATCTTAGGAATCGAATCTCCACACTGCGGCTGCTAGTTAGGCGTAAAATAACCTCGCTCCTATTTTTTGCATCACTGGGCTATGCCCCGGGTATTCTATTTCTAAATGAACTTGGATTCTCGAGAATCTCCAATGCCAATTATGTATTACAGTTTACAAGATGGACAAATTGAAATATTTTTAGTTATTGAAGTCTAATGAATACATATCCAATTTGGTGGTTCAATTTATCTTATAGTGTTTCTATATCAAAATATATATTTTTTCTTGTCACATTAACGAGAAAGACTCCATCAATGTTGCATTCGAGATGAATTTTTGTAGACATTGTCATTTTTTCTAGTGGCATTTTTTCATGCAATTCACATTAACATTGGAGATCTCTAAGAGTTTGTTTTATAAAACTTCTATTTTTGCTATTTGTAGAATAGATTTCGAAAGTCACCATACGTTAACGTTAGGAATGATAATGAGATGAATCAGTGATGATCATCCCGTCCCTCTTTGGAATTTTCAAGAAAGCATGACAAACGGAGCAGGGATTAAAAAATTCCAATTAGCTGCCAAGATTATATATATTCTTTTTGTTTAAATATGATTTAAATGGAAAAATGTAAAAAAAATATATAAAGATTCTGAGCAACATGACGGAACCATGATCCCCACTTCCAACTCCTATTATTTTAAGGGGTGGGTTGGGTCAGTAATTTTGGTCAAAACCTTGGCACTTTCAAAAAAATTATTCGAAAAATTTTAGAAGCAGTTTTTGATTTTTTGAAAGTTCCAAAAAAAATAAAATAATAATAAGCCTATTAAAAAACCATTTTAAACAAATTGGATAATTTTTTTGAGATTTGTATAGAAATGCTTTAACATGGGAAATTTGATTCATTTCAATCTTGTGTGGGTTCTCTCTATAATCAATAAATTAGTTAATGTATGATCAAATGTTTCCTCTAACATGAAATAATCAACAACCAAATTCCTTTGGGATCTAAATTCCAACGCAATCGGGCATCGGCTCTTAGACTTAAGGGTCCATTTGATTGTAAAGATGGAATTGAATTGAATTGAATTGAAAACGAATTTCAGAGAATTGAATTGCCTAAAAATTATTTTCTTGAGAATTGTAAATTATTGTATTTGATTGGGATAATTTTTCATGTGGAAAATGTTGAAATAAAAATATTTTTTTTATTTCTGTTTGGCTTTGTTTTATATAAAAATTGCGAATTAAAGGGATATATTTTACTGGTATTGGGGATGAAATTTGTTTCTATTGCGAACACACAAAAAAAATAAAAATTTCAAGAAAATCATCTATCTTTTGGTGTTCGTTGGTTTTGTTTTACATGAAAATTGTCATTTAAAAGAAAATATTTTTTTTACAATAATTCTTAAAATTTGTTTTCATTGTCAAAAAAAAAAAAAATCGAAACAAATAAAAAAAGTGCTACGGTAACCGAGAATTCCAATTCTCACCATTTTGGTGAGAATTGGAATTCAAGGAAAACATGGAAATTAGCTTAGGTGGCATAAAAAGTGGAATTCGAATTCTAGGAAAAATTGCCAATCAAACAACAAAAAATTGGAAATATGGAATTTGATTTCCATTTTCCATGAAATTGGGGTGCAATCAAACATACCCTAAAAGCTATATAAGCGCATACAACAAAAAGTCCTATTGACATAATTTTGTTCCCTATTACATACAGTGTATCAAGCATACTACGTCCATGTCTGTCCACAATTTTTAAGAAATTTATTTTTTCTCAAATTCATTCTTAACCACACATTTTATGAGACTCACAATTTTTATTAACTTTTTAATTACATATTTCATCAACCTTTATCAAAATTTATTAAAAATCTATTTTTTAAATAAACCAAATAGAGGCGTGTTAGTTTTTTTGTACTAGTAAACTTTCTAACTAAAATGTTCTTTAATCACTCTCACATGTGCACAAATGCTACTAAATTAAAGAAAAAAAATGTTATTTTACTGGTACATAATTTAAAATTTAATCTATCAAAAAAAATACATTTGATATTTATAAGGAATCTATTCGCTAGAATATTTTTTTTTCTTTTTCTTTTGAACCATACACATGGTACTTGACTAAATTCAGACACTAAAATGGTATAAGATTATACAAAGTGCATGATACCTAAACCCTAACAAAGTTAAATTTGTCCAATCACGCTCTCATTACTTTAATGTTGTCTCCAATTAGAATGTTGGATCTAGTCATTCAATATTTTGACCATAATTTTCGTGTTGGACATTGGGATGTGAAGAGGATCGATCAAATTATATAATATACACACACACTATGGCTATGTCTTTGTCCAGCATATAGGCAAAGCATGAACAAGTTCCTTAGCAAGGATTATTTATTAATTTGCAAAAGCTTTTTGGACATATAATAATAAAATTGTCTCTTGGAAGCAATGATTTACTAAGCCATAATGGATTAGAAATAATCTTTCCACTAATTGAAGTGATGAAATTGTACAACTTGATAACGCTTTTGAAATTATGATATCTTTGCTTTGGATTAATAATATTAAAGAAAATTCTGTTATTTGTTCATTATTAGTTATGAAATATGTAAGAGTGTATTTGATTACATTTATTTTCCATGGAAAATATCAGTTTTCCATCCAAATTTCTACTTGGAGTGTTTGATTGCTATTTTTTTTCATGAAAAATATTTTTCAACTTTTGAAAATATGTCTAATTTTTCTTGTTTTTAAGGAAAATATTTTCCTTGGGTAGAGGTGGTTTTTATTTTCCACAAAAGATGGAAAATATTTTCTTTTCTAGATGATATTTTCCATTTCAATCAAACACACTCTAATTTTTTTTTTTCACACAAATTAATATTTGAAACCAATTAGGGATGTTGAAAGAAATATATTTTTAATAGAAACAGAAAATAAATACATAAAGAAATTTTATTTTATTTTTTGGGTGGAAAATTTCTCAGGTGTATATAGATGATAAACCAAGGTGGGTGTCAAATTGTAATGGATTTTAAAAATCATTCTAAATTTAGATATCTTCATGTCAGATTTTATTGAATTTTAATGAAATTCATTAAAATTTAGGTGCCCCAATTGAGATTTTAATGAAATCATTTAAAATTTGGATACACTCAATAATTAATGAATTTATAAGGATTTTATTAATAGAAGAATTTTAAAAGATTTGGATGGATTTCAAGCTTAAAAATACATATAAGCAAATCTTTTGAAATTTCACCATATTTAACGAGATTCTTATGGAATTCGTAAGAATTTACTCAAATTCCAAAATTCACTAAAATATTAGTTGAGAAAAAATTCATTCCCCCCCCCAAAAAAAAAATATTTAAGGTTTAGCATTTAAGTCCCTAACCTATGGCCTTTGTAGTAGATAGATCCTAATCATTAAGGTTTAGCATTTAAGTCCCTATCTTTTGCATTGTATGGCAGTGTGGTCCCCAATAGATTCTTACAAAACTGTTCAATTGTCTTGCAATTCATACTTCATAGCCAATTGAAATCTTATATGCAATTTGTACGTCATTTTTCAAAGAAGAATGTCCGCAACAGAAAATGAAAAGGTACACAAAATCTTGCCACAATAATTTATGCTACTGATTGACTGTCATCATCCTAAATATTCTCTATAAGCATAGTAATCCCTCTCTAGCTATCTCTTAAACAACTCACATAAAATTTTAAGTATTGTCTTCAACATACTACTCATTTGTAAACCTTGTTCATTTTTTCGCTAAAGAACTGACAAGTATCATATTTTTATATCCTATAATGATATGACGTTAATCAACTCATCTGTATAATTTATTTAAATGCTGTGTCACCAAGTCATGTTTCTTTGTGAGTGTATTTGTATCAGTTGAGAAGGAGAAGTTTTTTGTGAATCTTTCAAGATTCAAGATTTACATGTGTAAAGGTACAGGCTTTTAGGCAGATTCAATAAGAAAAACCCGATTCTTGTCTTAAATTTTGGAAGCTCCAAACTAAGTAGAATTATTCTCATGGTTGTCCACGTGCTATATTCAGCCACCATTAGCCCATCTTTTCAGACAATATTTGATCGAGTCCCATTCTCAATTTATATTTGCATGTAGAGATAGATATATGCATATGATTTTCAGTTTCTTTTTGGACTTCCTTTCTTGGTAATTTTCTTGATTTTCCTTGTATATCAGTAATTTCGAAGAGAGAAAGCAAATGAAGAATTCAGTATCTGAACAGAGCTTGTACATAGAGAGTGACGAAGAGGATGAGGAGAAGGCATATGATGAAGGTGGAGTTGCAGAAGATGGGAATGATTCTGATTTCTCCAATGACTCCAATGATAATAAGAATAGCCACCAAATCAAGCCCAGTTCATACAATACCTCCTGGCCTCAAAGTTACAGGTATGCTTAATGCTTATATATATACACACTGGTGCGCGATTGACAGCAATTATTATGACATGAATCTCGATTTATACGAGTAGATGTGTATGCACGCGTGGCGCCTGGTGGAGATGATGGGATCTTCTTTTATCTCGTTTCACTTTAAGGATTAAAAAGAGACAGTCGGTATTTATATTTTGTTGTGATTTGTGCAACAACAGTGATGAATAATACGTAATCAACGAAGAAACAAAACAAACATTCGACAAATTGCCTACATCCATGGGAGCGAAGCTGCTATGATTTGTATTATGTACGAATAATAAGGCTATATATACACACACATGAATCCTGACCCATACGAGACTTTTGGGTCCGTTTAAGACTTTAAGAAAAAATCCCAAAAATACTTATTCCAGTAAACAAGTATTCTATTCTATATGAGCTTTACTGTATTTTCTTGTCTGTTTTATGCTATATTTCACGATTTCTATGTTGTCAATGATGATTATTGACTGTTAATTTTAAGCTCTACATGAACTATCTTTCTGCTTTTTTCGCAGTACTAAACATTCATATAAGTAATCACCGGTCCAAGACAATGAAGATTTATTTATTGCTTTTAATTTTTACTTTTAGTACAATTAATTTGGTCTTTGCGATTTGAAGGACTGGATGAATTTGATTTGTTTAATTACTTGTTCAAGGATATGTGATAACTAAAGTTGAACTATTTTTGAGTTGCATTCGGACAAAGAATTGTAATTTATTTACGCACTCCTGCTCGTCTCAAAGAGACGGAAATATTGGCATCAACGATGAAAAGTAAAAGAAGATCGGTTAGAGAATTAACTCGAATGCATAAATGTTGTCCAGATATCAGAACAAATCCTAGATAATTGATTATAAATCATGTTGAAATGGTTAATTCTTATCTTTCATTTCTTTCATATCTAACTCCAAATACTAAATCTGATGAAAATAATTGTTGCAGGCAATCAATTGATCTATACAGTAGTGTTCCATCTCCGAGTCTTAACTTTCTTGGGACACCATCTTTGCCTAAAAGCTCGTACCTTTCCTCGTCCCTTACAAGGAGACATACGCCAGAGATATTACCTTCTCTGGATAAACCACTCTTATCTGAACCAGAGGATGAGAAAGTACCACAACAAAGACGTAGTTCCCATTCTCTATTGCCACCTATACCGTCAAGGAAGCCAGGAATAAAGAAAGCGAGTCCCGAGGAGAAAGAGTCCAAGGACTCAGATGAAATTCCAATTTCTCGCCAGAGCTCATACGGCCAAGCAGTGTTAAATGGTATGTTTTATTAATCTGGTCTTGCTTCAATGTGCAGATAGTTCATTTACAATGCTTGGCACGCAATTTGGTCAATGACTAGAAGCTAAAATGGATGAAATTTTAACATAATTTTCTTCTGTAGTACTGTTTAGTGCTATACAATTCACATTACCAAATAAACTATTATCGCTTGACATGTAGTGGTTTTACACAGGCATGAACGTTCTATGTGGAGTTGGAGTCCTTTCTACTCCATATGCAGTCAAAGAAGGAGGGTGGCTTGGGCTTTCTATATTATTGATTTTCGCAGTGCTTTCTTACTACACCGGTATTCTCTTACGATCCTGCTTGGACAGTCAACCTGGGATTGAAACATACCCGGATATTGGCCAGGCTGCCTTCGGTAGAGTGGGACGTATTGTAATATCAGTAAGTCTTATCACTTCCTCAATATTTTGCCTTCATTTAGAATTAAAATTTCAGAATATAATGATAGACGTTTTTACTTATCAAATTAAGAGAAAATCTATGAGCATTAACTATTTGCTAATGTGTCTTTCATATTGTATGTTGTTTATGCAGATAATTTTATACGTGGAGTTATACGTAAGTATTCTTCTCAATTCTTGAATTGAACCTCATGCAATCTGTTTTCATCACCATAACTCCTTTGAACTCATTAGTCAATTTCTCCAACTGTGTTTTTGGCCTCTGCTTTCTAAATCTGTTTCAGGCTTGTTGCATCGAATTCATTATTTTGGAGAGCGATAACTTGTCGTCTTTATTTCCAAATGCACATTTAAGCATTGGAGGATTCGAATTAAACTCTCACCATTTCTTTGCATTGATGACCGCCCTGGCCATTCTTCCTACTGTTTGGTTGCGCGACCTGAGTATTCTTAGCTATATATCTGGTGAGTCCATTCACATTTAGATGATCATAAAATGAATTTAAAATGTTGTTCATTATTGTCCAATTCAGTCTAGTACTGCATACCAAATACGAACTCCGAGTATAATATGGTCTTCAATACTTTCAGCTGGAGGAGTAATTGCATCAGTGTTGGTGGTTGCTTGCTTGTTCTGGGTTGGGTTAGTGGATCAAGTTGGCTTTCAGACTAATGGCACAATGCTGAACCTTTCCACTCTTCCGGTTTCTATTGGTCTTTACGGCTATTGCTACTCGGGTCATGCTGTTTTTCCCAATATCTATACATCAATGGCAAAACCTAACCAGTATCCTGCAGTCCTCCTAACAAGGTAATACCAAACACTGCAGTCCTATCTGGTTTCTATTTGCCTCTACTGTCAAGTCTATTCGCGTTTTTTAAACCCGAGTCAGTAACCATTGCAGTTTTGGCATCTGCACTTTGCTGTATACTGGAGTTGCTATACTGGGATACACTATGTTCGGAGAATCAACGCAATCACAGTTCACCCTCAACATGCCCCAAGATTTAGTTGCATCTAAAATTGCTGTTTGGACTACGGTTAGTCAAGAATCTATTATAGAATAGGTTTCTTTTTGTTGTTAATCTATGCTGATGTTTGGTACGTTCTAGTAGACATGGTTGAACAGTTGTATGAAATTATTATTATTATTATTATTTATTTTATTATTATTATTATTTTTTTTTTTTTGGCTTATTCAATGCTGTATACAAAATATGTATTATAAACCAAGTTATCTATATTTGCATTGTGTTAAAGACTTCTTGCTTTTAATTAACTTGTGCATCTGCTTATTCTTTTGCAGGTAGTCAATCCATTTACAAAATATCCTTTTACTGATTCTACGCTTCGGAATATTACGATGGTCGAGCATTTTCATTTCTCATAAAACTTTTAACGAGAAAATGATTTTTCAAAAAAAAAAAAAGAAAAGGCTTTGAATTCAATAGTTAAAAATCAAGAAAGAACAGTTTCTTCTTAATTAGATATACATATGCATTAACAATGTCTCCAGTGGCAATGAGTCTGGAAGAACTGATACCTTCAAATCACAAAAAGTCTCATATATATTCTATAATCATAAGAACTGCATTGGTAATGTCTACGTTGCTTGTTGCTCTCAGCATCCCCTTCTTTGGTGAGCTCTTGTTTTCCAACCTCTGCACGCCTTCTCGACTATGAATATTTCTAGACACTTTTAGCTGGTTCATGTTCGTGGACAAAATTTTCTTCTTGTCCACATTCTTTAATACGCGTTCATTTTTGTTATACAGGTCTGGTGATGGCATTCATTGGATCTCTGCTCACAATGCTAGTAGTAAGTTTTCTAATTTTGTTTTGTTAAATTATTTTTCATAGTTTTATATTCTTTCTTGTTACAAAATAATGTTGTTGTTCCTCGAATTGATACAAGTGTTGTACCAAGTCTCGTCTCTTTTTCAGACACTGATTCTCCCGTGTGCATGTTACCTTAGCATCTTAAAGGGTAAAATAAACCTCTTTCAGGTAAAACCAAGTTCTGTTATTTGCTATGATCGAACTGTTCGTTTAGTATTTCCTAATATTTCTGTTTCACTTTTTACAGGGCTCCATCTGTATCTTGATCATCGTAGTTGGCGTCATAGCATCCGTTTTTGGAACCTATTCAGCCCTCTCTGAAATTATCGAGAACTTGAGTTGATCTTTTCGCGTAAAAGTGTATCAGTTTCTTGATATTTAAGAGCTTTTCACAGTACATGTTCTCGAAAAGATAATTTGTACCCTAGTGAAAGACGCATGTATTTTAGTCTTCTTCGACATCAAGTTAGTCTATCAGTTCTTGATTGCAATATGGTCTCATAATTCATAAGATAATATGCTATAAAAGACTGATCTTCATGGTTTCTCTTTTAACAATTCTAATTTTCGATGATGTTTTTATCAAATCAAACACTCGGGCATGGGAAAGGAATAATTCCAATTTTGTGACTATTATTTGATGTGATGAGTAGTCTCACTGGGTGTGAACGAAATCTTCGCTCCTGTGTCATTTATTACATGTTTAAACCCACCCAAAAAAAAAAAAAAAAAAGAACGTAGTTGAAAACTAAGAAAAATATACTGCCTACTTGAATCTTGAAAGTTGCAAAGTTCAAAAATGTACTAAAAAATATGTATATCAACATTTAATAAAAGAATAAATGTATGAATTACATCAGAACTGCATGCACAAAACAAGCTAATAATCAGGCTTTCCACCACTTCTTCTTTTTCTTGCTCCCCAATACAGGAAATTCTGCAAAACAGAAGCAATATTAAGGAATACAAACTGAATCCAACCAATTAAACGCCCATTACCTTCCGAATATTCCATATAAGATGTGCCTTTACTTTCACTCTCTACCAAACTGACTCTCTCTCTCCTTTTAGAGGTAAAACTCCCCTTGCCTTCATCGGCATTTCCTCCTCTAAGATATTCTATTTTTTCAAAGAAAAGAAAAGAAAAGAAAAGATAAGATGTAATAGCATGAACCGAAGGAAAAATAAAGATAGAATAATCTTTTACCTTCTCGCGGATAAATAGAGTTATAGTGCACTTCCGCCCAGAAGCTCAAAAATATCACTGCATTGATCAAAGGTAGTGATTAGGACTTAACAAATGCCCAGAAAATCTCATTAAGCCCTTGTTTGAGTCATATTATTTTTGTAAAAATGCATTTTTGAATGATGTATTAATGGGAAATGTTTTGTTAAAAAATAAGGAAAAGTTTTGAATTTACGTGTAATATTATTTTATTGAAAAACGTATGATTGAAATAATGTCAAATCACTGTTTAAGAATGTATTTTTTTAAAAGAATGTGGCTCAAACATGGCCTAAAAATGGAACATTAAATGGTGAAATAAACTTGCCCCAATAAAAAAAAAAAAAGAAGAAGCTTACTTCTGTTTGACTTCAGAGTATTTGGAAGAATCTCAATATAGCAGGTATCCCTAAACGACGTAATGACAAATATTTTGACGCCATACTGTCACCAAATAAGAACCATTCGCTAATTATTAGCCTATTGTAAATCGGAAATTTATTGTGCAAAATAGCCACAGTTGGAAAAAAATAGATCAAAGACATCCTGTAACAAAAATTCGAAGCGAAGTGTAAAAAGAGCATATATAGGGCATAAGAAAACAGACATTTCTAAGTAAGTTTTAAGGTGGGATAATTTCACTTGCTCGAGTTAATTCCGTCTGAGGTGTTTCACTTACAAACAAGAGTACACTTCAGTAAAGCAATAGAGAGAAAGGGAAGGAAATAATCATACAGTGTCTGCAGCAGCCTGCAATGTGACATGATCCCCCCATTCGCCTGTCCTATAATCACGTCAAATTGATTATATAAGTAAATACAGTCTACTGAAGAGGAAGCACAAATGCCAAGAAAGATGCAAAATGGAACTGTACTTGCTCATTTTCTTCAAGTAGTCGTCATAAGCCATTGGAACATAATTTTCATACAGCTCTCGATAGGACATCAGCTGATGATTGGCACGTAGAAACAATGAAAAATCATAATGTGAATAGATGTATTGTACTGAAAAGAATGAAACGAATTAGAAGCCAAGTAAGAAGATATCTTGAAGCCAATCAAAACGCTCAAAAACCTGGTACAAAACTTGTTCTCTCACTAATTTATGATGCTTGGGAGTACGATATATTTGATCTGATAATGAACGAAACTGCAGAAAGACAGGGAGGATCGTAAGCCGTAGGTTCAACAAGAAGTACCAAAACATGAGGAAGATATACCAAGAGGTAGAGATCACCCAAACTCACTTGAACTAAAAATATTTATTAATATGTAACCTATCAACTACAATTGCCTTCAAATTGGAAATGATGAATAAAAATGATGAATAAATATTTTGTTATAAATTTGGATCCAGCCAGAATGTGGGGAACCAACCTGGCAATTACCATCCCCTGAAATTTCTCGTTCAACCAGGTCATATAACTCCAATCTGTTGAAGACAAAACAAATAAAATAATCGAGTAAATACACTATAGTTCATGAGAAAGTATCAGTTAAAATAACATGACATATACAGAAAATAGAAAAAAGAGATGAAATTTTAAAATACACTCTTCAGAACAGAGTAAGACATCACCCAAAAAAAAAAAAAAAATTCAATCTGCAAAGCTCTTCACGGACAAAACTGGAAATGGCCACTTCAAAGTAAAATTAATAAAAATACATTTTGAGAGTGCAAACTCATTGCTATATCCATTAAACTAAAAGATCTTTGTGTATTCTTCATAGATAAAAATTGATAGTTTTTAACCTTTTTTCACCATCGAGTTAAAACTCTATTAACTAATAAGATGGCACATAATGGGAATTTTTATTTTTATTTTTATTGATGACCGTGGGTGTTTGGGCCAACTTACGTGCACTTCAACTAATTCCACGGGATTTTCAAGTTTATAGTCGGGTATTCACTTTAGTAATACTGAGGGGACTCAAACTGGTGATCATTAGGGAGCAAATTCAAGGTCTGATCACTGAGCTACCCTTCAAGATTATAATGGGAAATCTATTGTATATAATTATTGAACCAGTGAATGCAAGCCCACAAAACAAGAAGTAATCTACGAAACAGCTAAGTTATAAAATGGAAAAGAGATGATTTCAAATAAGACCTGGCGAGCATCCTTTCATGATCTGACATGGCATCATCAGCTGACGGAATTTCTCCATTAATTTTAGGAACATGCTGCAATCAAGACAAACAAATAACGAAGGCCAATTTCAATATAAATTCTAGAATAATAACTGATCATCATTAGTCGATGTGCAGTAACTTGCAAGGGACATAATCCGCCATTACAGCAACATGAAAAGCTTAATTATCTTAAAGGAGCTTTTCTCATTAATCGGAAGAGGAATAAGGTGAACTTACAGGTACTGGAATCATCTCATTCAGTCTTCTTCCTAATTCACTATCAAGGGTGGATTCTTGGTTACTATTGTAATCTGCAGACAAGGTAAATAAATTGAAAAACAAGTAAAATCATAAGTGTTAAACAAAATGAAATCTAAAGCTTTTCCCTAACCATAATAAAATTGCCTTCTTGAAGTATCAGACCAATCCTGAGAAAAAACAGACTCTTGCTGATCTTGATCTTCAGCACATGTAAATCTGGATTCCTCAGTAGTTCTAAGTCTTGCTAACTCTTCCTGAAGAGCATGAGCAATTACTTCATCATTCTCCACAACGGATTCTGTTGTGTCACAATAACCTTCCTCCACATAATAAATTCGAGACATGTCCATGTCATAACAAGTAATAATCTTAGGAGAACCACCACGCATTGGAGAGCAATCTATAAGGTGATGGCCCCACCGAACAATGTCAGGATCAAACTGGTGCGTGGTCATCTTCTTATAATAGATTTAAAGAACACTTTGGAATAAATTTAACCACACACTTTTCTCGTACTAAAATATCTCTGGTATGCTGGCTGTTATAGTGGATAGAAATACGTTCCTGCAAGAAAACACAGTTTAAATTCAGAAAATACGTTCATATTTGTAATCTCGAAGTAAATGAAAATATAAATAAAAATCCAAGTATACGTTCAGTATGCATAAATAAAATGACTGCTAAATTGATCACTCTCTGCTTTACCTAAATGTACTAAAAGAAATCGATCCTCTGGTCTCATCCTAACATTGAGAAATAAAAATGTTCCTTTCTTGAACCTTAATAGTAAAGAGTACAATCTTTTCCCCATTAAAGATCTAAAAGCCTTCAGATATTGTATATAACCTATCATTCAATATAGAATCCTGATTTTAATAAAATTATTGCCTTCAAGATAATAATCTGACCAACTATTTTCAAAATATAGGACTTTGCAACGATAAAAATTTATCTTGACCCTTCTGTATAGAAAATGGATAAACGACCAATGAACATATGACAAATTTCAAAGTTCATCAAAAGATCTTTAAAAGATTAAGCTGATCATTAAATTGGAACTTGATTCTTGGAGCCGAAACATATAATGAATAATCAGTACCGTCTTACTTCTAATCTAAACAAGAAAGACCCGAGAATTTAAGATAACTAGATTTTTAAGAAAAGCAACAAAAAACCTATTTATCCGAACTTAAGAATCGAATAAACTTTATCCTAAACCTCAAAACTTACAAGAACTTCCCCAAAAAAATCGTTTATATTCTTGTATACGCATATGTTTTTACTGACCTTTGAACTAGAAGCCCAGACATCTTTACCTTTACAAAAAGCTAAGGGGTTTTACTTTGGAATCAAGAAAAATTTGAACCGGTGAGGTGATAAGACGTCGACGTTTTGGAAGCTTAAATGAAAAGAATGAGAAAGCGAAACCGTAGGCGTTAGGCCGCGAAAATCCTGAGGAGGCGCCACGCCACCATCGTTTTTTTCTTGAAAATCCGCTATGTGGGACCCGTATTAGGACCAAGAATCTGCCGCGAGTTCGGATTCAAAGATTTTTGCAGCGGTTGGATTTCATGCGCACGCATGATCTTGATCGGTTGTGATTTCGTTCTGTTCTATGCAATTTAGTCATTTTGATTAATTTTTTGAGGAAAATATTCTTCCTTGTTCTTCGAGTTAATGGTTAAAATATTGGAGAATAAATTATAGTAAAGAATTCTAAAACTATTATCGGATTTACTAGAATACAGAAACCAATTCTATATCAACACTATCAAAGTTTGTGAAAAATAAGTTGAAACATTCTGGCGGGATACACTTTTGTTGGAAAAATATGACTTAATGAATTGTGGATCAACAATAATGTAATAATTTTGTAGAATTAATAAAATACATAGATGTTTTGAAAACTACCTTCTTCGTGTTCTTTACAAAAATTTCTCTGTGTTGATCTTCTGGACACCACCTTCGAACTATTCGGCCGTCTTCGATCTTCAAGAACTCAAACTTGTAAAGAAATTATGGGTGTGAAAAAATTAAATGACAGTATATCTATAAGATGGATATTTTTCTTGGATAAGGCAAAATTACTATCCTGAAAGGAACGTTTCTTTTGTTTGCAGTTGCATAAGGCAAGTTTTATATGGGGATTCTTTTTTAGGAGTGTTTGATAAGCATTTTTATGTAAAATTGTATTTTAAAATAATAAATTGATGTGAAATGTATGATTGAAAAATAAGGAAAAATTTTGTATTTACGTGTTATATTATTTTAATAAATAATGAAAAATGAATTTTGAAAAAAATGACTATCAAACGTGACCTTATATTTGGATAAGGAAACTTTCATAAAAAGATTGTTCCTTTTAATTCTAATCAAAATCAAACTCTTTCATGTATTAATGGCACATAAGCGACGCGTCCTGATTTATTAATAAAATTTACTATCCGTTAATAATAAATTATAATCGTTATATCTTATTGTAGTTCTTAAGACAGCGAAGAGATCAAGTCGGACCAAATTAAAATAAACTCCAATTGATTAATACTAACATGATAAGCTCTTAAACGTTCGAGATAATTTATTAATTTCATTATTTTTCTTTAAAAGAACGAGATTGCCCTCACAATCTAATTGAAATTATTAAAATTATATACATTTGACTTATTGTTCGAACATATTATCCCAAAGAAAATATTGAATATTCGAAATAAGGTAAAATGACAAAATACTCCTTTCCATATATACATTAACCCCAAATCTCATTTTTTTTTATCTAACAGTCCCATATGATCATATCACAACATTAATTTGAAGTCAATATCAAATTATTGAGCTCAAATTTAATTATTCAGTAGAAAATTCCTTCAAATCATTAATATTTTCCCTCTTGACTCATTCTATCATTGCCAAACATATTTTGACATGTTTGGTGAGTATAATTGACAATATCGTACAATATTTTGAAAAATAACCAAAACATATTCAAATTTGCAAACAACGTTCAGGCATACAAATATGTATTTTGTTTTTTAAATTTATCTCAGCCAGACGAGTGACGACATGTATCATGAAATCTCTCGTTCATCAGACTAAATTTTTCCTCGAATTCTTGTCCAGTCAAAAATATAGATCCTAAAATTAGCCCAACTTAGAGGTTATAATCCGGGACTTTGAACCAACTCGCCTGCCTTCAGTGTTTTTTCCCTTTTTTTTTTGGTGAAGTACAGGCCGGCATGAACAATGAACTCGACACAACCCAGGTGCCTGCCAGACATTTACCGGCATTAAACAGAATCGTTTGATTAATTTTTTTTTTAAAATTGGTAATTGGTAATTTTGAATGACTCGACTCGTTGGACTCAAGGACTACTCAGCTCATGAGGCCACAGGCCAAGGACCAATCGATCCGAAGATTTGGATAAGAGCTCGGCTCCACATTCATTATCACTCTAATGTCACATAAATTAAATAGCATTACTCCAATTTTACTACTACTATTATGAAGTACAAATATGTAATCACAACCAATAAGTAACGAAAATCATTAAATGTTCAGATATTAATACAGTATACAGCGATCCATAATGCTAATTAATTAGATAGAGGATTTTCTAGTGATGAGGACAAAATGTGACCAAATAGCTTCCGCCAGTGCAAGTGGCAATGCTGGTAGGATCATCATAGGCATAAGAATAAGCCTTGGGACAAGCCGTCTTGAAAATTCTTGAATATGCAGTTGGCTTACAAGATTGTGGGTTCCCGAAATTTCCAGTGCAACAATATCTTGGTGAATTGAATGCAGAACAAGCACTCTTGCAAGCTACCACTCTCTTCTTGTCGTGAGATCGAACCTGAAGCCCCGCCGGACACATCATGTTCAGGTCACTCACGCACCCGGCATAGCTACATTTCCCTGCCAGTACATATATATTCTCTCAATTTCAGCTTTCGAAACAAATTTAACATTAGAAATATCAATACTATACCTGAGCCTCGGAAGGGTCTGATGGCAATAGCAAGATTGTACCCATCAACAAGGCTGACATCGTAGAAATCCTGGTCATTGCCAAGTGTGATCTCAGCAAGGGTGGCTGGAGGGGCCCCGCCAATACCATTACAGAAGAGAGCACCACCACAATCCCCGGTGGCGCAGCGGCCGCGCCCCGTGGCATCAAAAGAACAGCCGTGGCGGCCCCAGATGCGGCCATGTCGTGAGATCGAACCTGAAGCCCCGCCGGACACATCATGTTCAGGTCACTCACGCACCCGGCATAGCTACATTTCCCTGCCAGTACGTATATATTCTCTCAAATTCAATTTTCGAAACAAATTAAACATTAGAAAGATCGATACTATACCTGAGCCTCGGAAGGGTCTGATGGCAATAGCAAGATTGTACCCATCAACAAGGCTGACATCGTAGAAATCCTGGTCATTACCAAGTGTGATCTCAGCAAGGGTGGCTGGAGGGGCCCCGCCAATACCATTACAGAAGAGAGCACCACCACAATCCCCGGTGGCGCAGCGGCCGCGCCCTGTGGCATCGAAAGAACAGCCGTGGCGGCCCCAGATGCGGCCGGACCATGCGGTGGGGAGTTGGAGAGTATAAGCCTTGTTTGGTGGCAGCTTGAAGCCACCACGGGCAAGAATGGGCTTACCAGCACTAGGTTGGATGCCTGGCCAAACAGGGTGTCTGCACTTGTTGTACAGTGTCATTTTTGTGGCTGAGACCTCTACTGGATTGTGCCATTTTCAGCACAAGAAGAAATTCACAATAAGTTATTCAAACGTATTTAAAAAACAAAAAGTTACATAATACTATTTTTAAGCTCACAAATAAAAAAAATTGTTACACGTGAGTCGTTTACTGATAAGTTGGATAATATAAACTGAATCTGATCTGATCTACACTTAATGAGGCGTGTTGATGACAAAATTTAAAGTAACTATAATCTGATCTGCACGTGACTTGGCATCTCATAGACGAGATTTAAGTAAATACATTTGACCCTTTTCTAAAGCCTTAAGCTTTTGTTATTGGTCATCAGCATTGAAACATTCACAAAAGAGGAAATAAACTACAATGTAGAAAGAAGAAGATTACCTGAAATCTGGACAATGATGAAGGAGAGTAGTAGCAAAGAAATAAAAGGTCTGAGAAGGATTTCCATGGCTGAAAAACTTCAAGTTGATGAGGAGAACACTCAATTTATTTCCCTCTGTGTAGTGAGTTTGATGGGCTTTTATAGATAAAAATCCAATAGGGTTACTACTTACTGGACTTTCTCGTCAATTGGTAAAGTTAACTCGTTCGTACTACAGTGAATAAATACGGCTGGCAAGTGGGCCTTATCAAATGAATGATGTTCATGTATATTCTTATGAATCATTAACTTATATGTACAATATTTGTAGACATTAATGTTAGTAGACAATATTCTACTTGACATTATTATATGACTAATTCTATTTAATTTCGTTGGAGTTATAATTTCAGTTTAAGTGAGCATTAAATGATATGCAAAATTAAATAAGTCATTTAATTTCACATTTCATTCAACATATTATCTAGCGCCACCTAGACTGAGTTGTAACCCCAGTGAGACTGCATAACATTATTCTTATCGTATTTATCCATTTAAAAATTAATTATTTTTTACATCACATGCTTGAATTTTGACACTAGCTTTATTCTATTTTTCTTTCTTATCCCAACTTAGAGGTTATAATCCGGGACTTTGAACCAACTCGCCTGCCTTCAGTGTTTTTTCCCTTTTTTTTTGGTGAAGTACAGGCCGGCATGAACCATGAACTCGACACAACCCAGGTGCCTGCCAGACATTTACCGGCATTAAACAGAATCGTTTGATTAATTTTTTTTTTAAAATTGGTAATTGGTAATTTTGAATGACTCGACTCGTTGGACTCAAGGACTACTCAGCTCATGAGGCCACAGGCCAAGGACCAATCGATCCGAAGATTTGGATAAGAGCTCGGCTCCACATTCATTATCACTCTAATGTCACATAAATTAAATAGCATTACTCCAATTTTACTACTACTATTATGAAGTACAAATATGTAATCACAACCAATAAGTAACGAAAATCATTAAATGTTCAGATATTAATACAGTATACAGCGATCCATAATGCTAATTAATTAGATAGAGGATTTTCTAGTGATGAGGACAAAATGTGACCAAATAGCTTCCGCCAGTGCAAGTGGCAATGCTGGTAGGATCATCATAGGCATAAGAATAAGCCTTGGGACAAGCCGTCTTGAAAATTCTTGAATATGCAGTTGGCTTACAAGATTGTGGGTTCCCGAAATTTCCAGTGCAACAATATCTTGGTGAATTGAATGCAGAACAAGCACTCTTGCAAGCTACCACTCTCTTCTTGTCGTGAGATCGAACCTGAAGCCCCGCCGGACACATCATGTTCAGGTCACTCACGCACCCGGCATAGCTACATTTCCCTGCCAGTACATATATATTCTCTCAATTTCAGCTTTCGAAACAAATTTAACATTAGAAATATCAATACTATACCTGAGCCTCGGAAGGGTCTGATGGCAATAGCAAGATTGTACCCATCAACAAGGCTGACATCGTAGAAATCCTGGTCATTGCCAAGTGTGATCTCAGCAAGGGTGGCTGGAGGGGCCCCGCCAATACCATTACAGAAGAGAGCACCACCACAATCCCCGGTGGCGCAGCGGCCGCGCCCTGTGGCATCGAAAGAACAGCCGTGGCGGCCCCAGATGCGGCCGGACCATGCGGTGGGGAGTTGGAGAGTATAAGCCTTGTTTGGTGGCAGCTTGAAGCCACCACGGGCAAGAATGGGCTTACCAGCACTAGGTTGGATGCCTGGCCAAACAGGGTGTCTGCACTTGTTGTACAGTGTCATTTTTGTGGCTGAGACCTCTACTGGATTGTGCCATTTTCAGCACAAGAAGAAATTCACAATAAGTTATTCAAACGTATTTAAAAAACAAAAAGTTACATAATACTATTTTTAAGCTCACAAATAAAAAAAATTGTTACACGTGAGTCGTTTACTGATAAGTTGGATAATATAAACTGAATCCGATCTGATCTACACTTAATGAGGCGTGTTGATGACAAAATTTAAGTAACTATAATCTGATCTGCACGTGACTTGGCGTTTCAAAGACGAGATTTAAGTAAATACATTTGACCCTTTTCTAAAGCCTTAAGCTTTTGTTATTGGTCATCAGCATTGAAACATTCACAAAAGAGGAAATAAACTACAATGTAGAAAGAAGAAGATTACCTGAAATCTGGACAATGATGAAGGAGAGTAGTAGCAAAGAAATAAAAGGTCTGAGAAGGATTTCCATGGCTGAAAAACTTCAAGTTGATGAGGAGAACACTCAATTTATTTCCCTCTGTGTAGTGAGTTTGATGGGCTTTTATAGATAAAAATCCAATAGGGTTACTACTTACTGGACTTTCTCGTCAATTGGTAAAGTTAACTCGTTCGTACTACAGTGAATAAATACGGCTGGCAAGTGGGCCTTATCAAATGAATGATGTTCATGTATATTCTTATGAATCATTAACTTATATGTACAATATTTGTAGACATTAATGTTAGTAGACAATATTCTACTTGACATTATTATATGACTAATTCTATTTAATTTCGTTGGAGTTATAATTTCAGTTTAAGTGAGCATTAAATGATATGCAAAATTAAATAAGTCATTTAATTTCACATTTCATTCAACATATTATCTAGCACCACCTAGACTGAGTTGTAACCCCAGTGAGACTGCATAACATTATTCTTATCGTATTTATCCATTTAAAAATTAATTATTTTTTACATCACATGCTTGAATTTTGACACTAGCTTTATTCTATTTTTCTTTCTTATCCCATAACATCTATAATCTTGAGAAAACCGAGCAAGACGGATCAAGTCGTTATTTGTAATACGCTTAAACCATGTAAACTTTGCTAAGTTCCAATTTGCAGAATCGTTGAAGGTGTAATTTTTTTTTTTTTATAGAAAACTTTGTCAGGCTAAATGTTGGACATAAATTTGGCACAGTTGTGCTACATATACATAATAATTTATATACATGATTATATATAATTGAATCAAAATTTCTAAGTAAAATGAAAAAATTTCCACATCCTCTCTTTAACATTCATTTATATGTAAATTATTATATAATTTCGTAAGTCGAGGTAGGCAAGACCTATTTTGTCAACGAAGAATTTTGGGTGGTCCGATACAAAGTGCTCAGGTACCGAGGGTGTCAGAAGTGAGTGGGGACCTAAAGGGAAAAAGTTAAAAAATTTCACATGTATTCTCAGGGAATCCAATCTGCACGCTGCTTCCTTTGAGACCTTTATTACCATTGTTGTGTTTCCGTGTCTGCACCCACTGCGCAATCAGAGATCCCCAACTAAGTTTTTTTTTTTTAACGAGGTGTTCTAGCTTGCGTCAGACTATATCCTCGTCCCTGAACCTTCGGCCCCTCAGTAGCTCAGGGAGGTAAATCGCGGGATGTGCCCTTGTTGGTTTCCAGGTTCCCACACGACTTTTACTCCTTTTCCAAAGGGAGTCTCTTCACTGCCTTACAACAACTTGCCTTACAAAATAAATCTTGCCTTCCAAGTTGTGCCTTCCAGGAATCGAACTCCCCACGCTTGGTTCGAGAGCCCTCTAATGTAATTGTTCCGCCAACTTGGATGTGCCCCGGGGGCAGAGATCCCCAACTACTCATTTTCATGCTTACTGGATTAGGGGAAAAAATCATTTAGCTATGTTTGTCATTTTTAAAACAAAAAATTCTTTAATTTGTGAACTCATTTGTTTACTACAAATTCATATGATAGAATATTTTATACATAAATTTAAAATTTTTCTACTTTTAAACTTTACTAGTCATAGTTAAACGTTTATTACACATTATTCTGAAATACTATTGAAAAAGTAATATTTAATACTAATTTATTTGAAGGATTTGATAAGTCTCAAACGAATTAAGGAAAATAAAATTTAGGATATAAATTTAAGAGAAGAAAATTATACTCTCAAAACTCAATTTCTATTATTCAAATTTCTTGTGATAATGAAATATTACAATTGAGCAATATTTTTATACTACATTTGGTACATAAATATTAATTGCAAATCCATGAATTTAAATACCCGTTAAATTTTTTAGATATATGAATATAAATAAATTTATTTATAATAACTTTATATTCATGTAGATCAAGATTCATCGAATCAAGATTCACTAGAAAAATAACTTACAGTTGGTTCAAATACAACAAAACCTTAATAGACTCTCACCGCCCAACTTGTAAATCATTGAAAAATCTCTTCGATTCTACAACCTGTACTTTCTAGCAACTTTGAACTTCTTTTCCCTTCATGTGGATAACCAAGAACGAACTAATTCTAAAACATTTAGATGTTTCTTCCTAATTTCAGAACTCTGAAGGTTTATTGGTGAAGGTAAGAGTTTTTGGTGTTTGAAATTTGAACTTGTAGTTGAGGCAAGAAAATTATAAAATATATGTTTGATTATGTAGGATGTTCTCTTGAATTAAATGAAGGCTATCGTTTGGTGCTATAGTCGAGTGGTGCAAAGGATAGCAGTGAGGTTATCTCACGCCTTGTTACCAGTCGAAGTATGGGGGTTCGATTCCTGAGACATAAAATTGGATTTCTTGTAGGTGTAATGTACAAGTAACTTTTGTTCCCTGATCTGTTGGGGCACATCCCGCGATTTACCTCCCTCACAAAACTCTAGAAACGGGACGGTGAGGACCCTCAAGGTTGGGGTTCAACCTTTTTAGCTTAGAAACTAAACATGATAAGTTGAGATATTGTATCAGCATAACTGAACTAACAACAAAATATGATATCAATATTATAAAAAATTGAGTGATTAAATTGAAGAGAATCAAATTTAAGTGACTAACATAGAATATTAGTTGTAAGTTGAGTGACTTTCACTTAAAACACTATTCACATTTTACCAAGTTATTCATCCAGACCATATTCTAATTTCCTCGAGTAATGTTATTCAGTGTCGATCATTTCAGTTTAAATGGTAATAGAACATCTTATTCATAAATTTATTTATATGTATCTCAGTTCAATTAGATGATGAATCAGTTGACTCATTACCATCTAAACTAAATGATTCATAACTTCATTTTTTTTTTCCTCATCACGTCGCCAAAATGCAAAA